AAATCGTGTAAAGCTTTCCAGTAATATATTTTGATGCATTGAAATCAATCCATGAGCTGTTTCGTATTTTATACAATATATTAAATCAGTATTTGTGGAGTGATATTAAATTTATGAACTCAAGGTTTCAAAAATTATCATTTATCAGTAGATATGATAGCTATAAGAAAACAAATTGAACTCTACTAATCTCTACAACAACGGATTTATTATCACAGTACATAAACGCATAAAACTTACGTTATACAGTTATCACTAGTAGGAAAATTAGGGACAACCGTAATCTCAGGCTCAATTCGTAGGGTTGCTTAACGTTTTCTCGTAATAGGTTGCCATTTTTTGTTATTTATCTCAACTGTTGACTAAATTGATTTTTTTTTTTCGTTTCGTTTCTACGCCATTTGTAACAGGAACAAAAAAAAAAACCGCAGACGTTATTGATTCGATTAATTCTATACATTTTTTAAACTTTATTGAACAGCTATTAAAAATGCTAAACAATTCACTAAAATGCTGTCATTGTTAACGCATGATTGGAAAACGATAAAAGATATTGAAACATTTTATATTCCATCTCTGAAAATATTATACTGCGGAAGGAAGAGGGTATAGACTTAAATGACCGCTATCTAGACAAGTGAGGTATTTTTCTGATTTTATTTTACACTGAATCGAATGAAATCAATCCCAAAAATGTAGAACTAATATTTTAGAAGTTATTAAGGTTTTATCTATAAAACGTACAGTTTTTACTTATACAATATACTCATATAATTTACGCATTTATAGGTATCAAAGGGCAGACAGGACGATCCGCCCATCTGAAAACACTTAGGGAGAACACTGTCAAATTTGCAATTTATCTTTGAAAAACTTAATGCATTCACTATTGATATAATAAATTCTTATTAAAAATTAAAGGACTTATTTTAGAACAAATTTATTGTAACATACAATTACAATATATAAAACCCATGTTTACATGTTACTTGTTGTAAATGTATTTTCTATTTTATATAAAACAAGAATCAATTTAAAAAATAAAGCATTTAATATCAGGAGTCCCATATGCAGAACATTATACTTTTTCATTTTTAAATATTTTCAACTTCATAAAACAATAATACATTTCTTTTCCCGCATCGCAGACCTTTCAGTGATCTACAAAATATCTAAAATAAAAGAAACAAAAAACCATGGTCATGATAAAATATTACAAACAAATTAATATTAGATAACAGAAATTAAATACTATTAATTTGAAATAATTTCTATCTCCAGATATCCTTCAAAAACTTATACTAAGTCAGATAATTATTTTGATCATAATTTTTAAATTATTCCATATATTAATGTAATGTGGGTATGTGGGTAAGTATAAATGGTTTTTTAATTTTTATGATTGGGCTGAAGTTAATTTTTTAAAAAAATTATTAATTATATTTCTTAAATATTTTTTGCCCCATTGAGGATAAGAAGCAAAGTAACCCATTGAAGATAATTTGTAAAATAAACTTACATAAAGTAAACTTACATGGGAAAATGGGCATGGCTCAAGATGAGTTTTTAAGAAAATGAACTTTGCTATTTAAGAAAATAAACATATGTATTTTAGAAAATGGTCATAGTATTTTATTCTATTTTTCAAACTTTTCTTATAAAATTTGGTCTTTTTTTTAAAGAATAATATAATCCAAATAAATTCGTAATGACTTCGCCATTTGCATAAATCCCTCTGCATACGTTTTTGAAAAATTAGTCCTTTTTTAGACTTTAACATTAATAGTTGTTTTTGCAAGTCTGTCAAAAGTTCAATCAATTTATTTATAATAATGGAATTAAATTTACTTTGAAGTAGTTTAGATTTTATTGTTTAATGTGTTGAATACGAAGAGATCACCTGAAAAATTTCTTCGTAATTATTTACAAAGCCACAGCTCCGACTCCTAGACTACGGACCTTAATCATTGTGCTTTATGCTTTAACCCATTATGCCTTAAGATTTTTACCCATTATGCTTTAAAATTTAAAAAAAAGTAAGAAAATACGAAATTCTCCGTTTTATTGTTAAGTTTGGTTTGAACATTTAAACTGTGCATTTTGAGATGCGTCCATTTTTTTAAACACGCTTTTTGAGCTATTATGTTCATTTTCTTATACACACTTCTTAGAGTATATCCATTTTCTTAAACACTCATTTTGATCTGTGTCCATTATCTTAAACACGCATTTTTAACTATGTTCATTTTCCTAAATTCTCATTTTCATGTGTGTTCACTAGAAAATGCTCAAACTGTGTCCATAAAAACCGCTTAAAATATGCATTTAAGAAATTAATTAAGCATTTTAAAGTGTTCTTTTTAAACTCGCATTTTATGCTGGGACGAGATAAAATGCTCATCAACAATATTCAATTTAAAACTAAAAACTTGCTTAAACTGCGACTTTCCCCGTTTCTTTGATAACAAATCCTCAAAAAACACCCTTAATCATGTTTTACATAAAGTTACATTGTAAGATAATTTTGATTGATGGTTTTGCCTTCCTCAATTAAACCTTTACTCTCCCTTCTACTATATTAGATCCAAATATTACTCTCATTTCAACAATAAAAATTAGGTGTTTTTTCTAACTTAGAATAATCATTTAATCTGAATAATCAGATTTTTATTTTATTCAGATTATTTCATTCATTTTTATTCAGATTATTACATTTTTTGATCCCTTTAATCATTTTTTAAAATCATTTTTTGATCTGTTTCTGTCATTCACAGTAACATCTTTACTTGACTTTTTAAAGCGAGAACATGTCAATGATTGTCTTAACAACACAGCTTAATTGAGACATTCGTAGAAATTGCAATTGCTAACTTAAATGGCTGGTAAAGCTTTTTTGTCAACCGCGTTGAGCCAGTATTAATTACTGAAGATGGAATTTATGCTATTCATATTAAACAATTAATTTCGGATATCCAGTTCTGCAACTGCAATGTAAAAGTAAATTAAAAGATTGTTGAAATTATAGAGAATCTTGCTATTAGGAATACATTCAGCCTTTCTCGGCTGTTTCCTTGTTCTCAAGTTCCTTGATATTGGTTGAAATATTTAACTAATTTGTACTTTTTAACACGTTGAATGTCACGCTAATTTTACATGGCTTGCCCGTCTGACCAAAATGATTTTCTCAGTATGTATTGTATTAATTTCTTCAAACCATTTTAGTAACGATAATAATATAAAAAAGATTAAAAGCATTAAAAATTTACTCGAATTATGTGTTTCTAATAATCTTGGCTTCACCCGTTACTGGTGACCTCCATGGCGCTACAAACAAGTTCAGTGCCGGTCACCGGTGACCCCCATGGCATTCAACGTGTTAAGTTGAAATTGGAAGCTTTTTCTCATTCAAAGGAATTTTTCAGAGATAAATAGCTTGGTAAATCAGGGTGATCGTTAATTAAGAGTTGGTCAAAATAAATAATGAAATGAAATGTACAAAAATAAACGAGAAACCGCTGAAAGTTTTTTTTTATAATTTTTTATTTATACTAATTGAAATGCATTTTAGTTTTTTGCTATGAAACGTTTGATTAATGTATTTAGTTTTTTTGTTTTGGTTCAAATAAATTCTTAGCAATTTTGCGATGTTATACAGCACACATGGCCCGAAATATTATCAATAACAGACTGATTACTGAAAAGCTTGCAATTTTATGACTATCTCCATGTCTGTGGTTGTGGAAGAGGATGGTGGTGATTTAATTCTTTCCCATTTACGTTAGATTCTTTTTTTATGAAAACATTTTCTTAAAGCATGCACATGAGCAACAGAAGGTATAGAATCGATTCAATGGTTTGCACAACATCTTTTGTTTGTTATTGCAGTCATGTAATTCATATTAAAGGGTATGAAAATCTTCACACTGCTTTGCTATATTTCTTATCTACATCAAATTTGGAGGATGTGAACTAAGAGTCTTAAAATTCTTACAAACAGAATGAATTTTCCACGAATACATGATTTTTTGCCTGACAGAGAGGGAATAAATGTATTAGAGTTGAGTGACATTGAGAATGAGTGAGTAATATTGAGTGTGAGTGAGTATAATATTAAGTATGAGTGATATTGGAAATGAGTGATTAATATTGAGAATGAGTGAGTGATATTGGAAATGAGTGATTAGTATTGAGAATGAATGAGTGATATTAGAATGAATGAGTGATGTTAAGAATGAATGAGTGATGTTAAGAATGAATGAGTGATGTTAAGAATGAATTAGTGATGTTAAGAATGAATTAGTGATATTAAGAAGGAATGAGTGATATTAAGAAGGAATGAGTGATCTTAAGAATGAATGAGTGATATTAAGAATGAATGAGTGGTATTGAGAATGAATGAGTGGTATTGAGAATGAATGAGTGGTATTGAGAATGAATGAATGGTATTGAGAATGAATGAGTGATATTGTGAATGAATGAGTGATATCGAGAATGAGTGAGCAATTTTGAGAATGAGTGATTTTGACAGTGAGAGAATGATTTTGAAAGTAAACGAGTGACTTTGTGAACGAATAAGTAATTTTGAGAATGAGTGAGTGGTCTTGAGAATGAGCGAGTGATTTTGAGAAGGAATGATTACTTTTGAGATTGTTTACTTTTAGGAAAGAGTTATTACTCTTATGAATAAGTGATTATCCTTGAAAATGATTGAGAGCTTTTGGGAATGGGAGCTTTAGATAATGAGGGTTTTTGAGGTTGGGAGAATGTTTACTGTATTGGTTATTAGTAAGCCATAAAAAATTCTTGCAAGACATGAATGATTATTTTTGGTCAATTTTAAACTTTGATTTGAAGTACTTATAAGAAATATTTCTGAGGCGTTGAGTGAGACTGATGGCGGTCAAAATCAAAGCCGACAGAACAATATATAAAAATAATATAGTTTAAATTTTCTGTTGTAGTGATATTTTCTTTTATAATGCATTCTTATTGTATTTCAGGTTTGCTCTCCTATGTCAATTGTCGTAGCGTTCGCTGGGCGATGCGCGTACAAGATCTCTTCACTGGAGCAAAGCTTTTTGCCCTAATCTTTATAATTATAGGTGGAGCTTGGAGGATTGGTCAAGGTAAATAGTAGTTTATAAATTTATTTTATTTCAATTTAAAATAACAAAAAAGCTGTTTACAGCATAATAAAATTTTTTTAATAAAACAAAATTAAAATTAAAATTGTTAAAATGAGAAAATAATAGAGAATTCTATTGCTTTCTCAATTTTGTGAAATTATTAAAATTCCGTTGTGATTAATTCTAATTCCTTTTTGGACAAAAGGTTGATTTGAATTTAGACTTTAAGGGCACAAAAACTGCAGTCGACTAAGCTGCGCCATACATAACTGATATTTAATGTAAATGAGCTGATAAGATGGTGCTATAAATTAAATCTTACGCTAAAAGATTTGATTAAAAAATATGAACTGTAATAGGGATTTAATGTAACGTGAAAACAATAAAGTTAAAAATTTCAGGAAAGGAAAAAAGGTTACATTTAGAACACCCGCTACTACCCCCAAATAACTTGATGTTTTTTCCCTCTCAAAAAAGTTCAATTTTGTGAAAGGATTAACTGTTTGCGGGACAGAAAAATTCGGATTAAAGTTTTGAAGATGGCAGCGAATACTCCGAAAATATGTTCAAGTTTAAGGCACAGTCTGAAAAGAATGGTTTATTTGAGTTATATACAACGTAAATCAATGCCTTGGCTGAAAAATTTAATACGAATGAATTTAAAAAAGAAATGTAGCGTGAAAAAAATTAGAAATTTCGAAAAAGTAGAAAAAAGGTTATATATATAACGCCTGCTACTTTCCCCTAAACCTAAGATTTTTTTCTCTCGCAAAAAAGTTCAATTTTGTGAAAGGATTAACTGTTTGCGGGACAGAAATAAGCTCTGATGAAAGATTTGAAAGATGTCATAAATTCTCCGAAAATGTGTTAGAATATGAACTAAAATAAGAATGAAATCTAAGGTGAAAAGGAATAGATAGATAAAGGAATAGATAGAGAATTAACTGTTTGCGGGACAGAAATTTTGATGAATGATTTGAAGAATGACAGAAAATACTTAGAAAATATATTTAAGTTTAAAGCTCAGTCTGAAAAGAAAGGTTTATTTCAGTTCTACCAGACGAATTCATGCTACCTAAAGAATTATCTTGGCTAAAAAAAATGACTGTTATTTTTTATAAATAACCAGAAATTTTTTCCCCTCTCAAAAAGTTCTGCCATAAAAAGAGTTGACTGTTTGGGCGAAAGATTTAAAGAATTGCTTAGTAAGAATTGAAGAATAGTATAAAATTATCAAGGTGAACGCAGCCTTAAATGACACATTTATTTCTGAAAAAAATGAATTGCTACCTAAGTAAAAAAATTGATAAAAAATAAAATGATTCTTAAGGTGTATTTAGTATTATTACGACCACTCCTAGACTACGATTCCAGAAAATTCCTATTATAAAAGCTTTTTAAGCTTCTTTCAAATAGAGGCCATGTCATGCCACAGCCAAACTAACGTGAAAAATTCGATCTCTTATATAAGGGTGAGAAAAAAAGTAACCACATGTCAGTAACCAGCGGTGGCGCTATTTATCATCTATTTGAAATATAAGTCTGGTAATTTTTTATGTACTATTTCATTCACTATTGCATAAAAGAAACAGGTTCTAAAAGGCCAGAATCTTACGATTTGAATGTTTATTGCTTTTAAAAATTCCATCACGTATTTCTTTTATAACTAATGCTTTAACTAAAAATAGTGTGTGATATTTATAAATTAACCTTTTTTAAATGTGTATGCAAGGCATGTGATACTAAGTCTTGGAACTTATTGTGTTTCTTTTTTTTTTTTTTTGCTGTCTGAGTTTTGAAAGATATATAATTGATTTATGTATTTCCCAGGTCATTTAATGTACAGATTTACAATTAAAAAAATGTCTATTAAAAAAGATTACAAGCTTTCCATGAAAACAACTGCCGAAAAGAAAAATAGAAACACATATATATTTGATATGTTATTGAAATTTTAACATTGCGATTTATCGTCAGGATATATCAAAATTTTGCGATACATCACGATATTTTTCAATTTATCTATTTTCATTATTTTTACATTGATCTGTATTATCAAAGCTCACTATTATAATGTATTTGATAATTACCTCTATAACCAAAACTCGCGATATTATCGTTTTCTATATTTAAAATTTCCATTAATCTTCACAACATCATAGTAATCAATAGTACATTTATCGTTATCCCATTCAATGTTTATCGTTCTCTAGAATAATTTCGATACTATCGTTGTCTATTATTATCGTATATTCGATATTGGCGAATGTACGATATATTGAGACACTACAGTTTTGAAATACCATTAGATTATAAATCAAAAAGTTTGGAATTTTATATTTAAATAAATGATTGTATTTTTCGTTAGAATGCTTCTCAGGTTATTATGCATATAAAATTTGATATAAAATTATAAAATTTGAAATAATATAAAATTGATAAAATAATATAAAATTGATAAAATTTGAAAGAATTCCCTTTAACAATTATGCCTTATACAGCCCAGAATATATTGTTCTCTATTATGTAATTAATTTGAAAACAGAAACAAAGTAGGGGAGAGGGGGGCACATGTGAACAGGGGGCACATGTGAACATGGTATGTTTTACCAATATGATTTGAAATAAAAAATCTCGAAAAATTTTCAATTGATGTCAGTACTAGTCCTACCTCTCTGAAAAACTTTCAGAACAATGAGACATTTTGTTGGTCTATTCTGACAATTTCTTTGTATCAGCTGGTGTTGCATATATTATAATCGCTCGCTTCTCCAAGTGAAAGCATAATATAAATCAACTAATAAACTAAAATTAACTATTGCAGATCATTATATGAACATTCAGGTAAGTTTATGACAATTATTCTTTTTTTTTACTCAATTAAAAGTTCTTTATTTTTCAAGTTAGGTTTAAGAAGGATGATGGGGGCACTTGTGAACAAAACATCTGGGGCAGATGTGAACAGTTCACAAGTGCCCCTACATAGTATTAAGATTATTATCCTCATGATATTATAAGTTTAAAAAATATGTATGCATTTAAAATTATCATTATTTAATTTTCCATAATTAATTTATTAATTTTTCCTTTAAAAAATTTTTTTTTATTAAATGGTTGATCGCGCATCACGCATATTAACTGATACACCTGAGAAAATAGAATTGTTAAAGCTACAAATGAAAAGATAGAAAAAATGAAAAAAAAAGCATGAAAGAGTATTAGAGAAGAAAGAAAAAGGCCCATTACAACACCCGTGGAACATGAAGTTGCGAAAAACCCAATTACGGATAAATTATTGTACAGCTGAAAAATTATTTTCTTATTGACAGTACTGTTGTACAATTTAAATTCACATAGTAAGCTACAACCCCCTCAGTATAATGCGTATCTATATCTGTTATATTAAAGATTTTTTTTCTTTGAAATATGATGATTGCTTTGTGTTTTTAATCTTGTTCATATGTGCCCCAGGCCTGTTCACATGTGCCCCCAATAGGGGCACATGTGAACAATTGAAGTCATTTTTCTAAAATATTATAAAGTAAAGAAATATTTTATTGAAAAATCTCAAAAAATTCCATAAGACAAAGAAAAGACTATTTAAACATATGGACTTCTTTACTATGAAAAATTGATGATATTTTTTGAAAAATGAAGAAATAAAAAAATTTGTTCACATGTGCCCCCCTCTCCCCTATTATGTTCCATTGGTGTGTACAGTTCGCAAAAAAAAAGGGTTCCCCTGATTAACCTGATTTAATGATCGGATTTAAAGCAGGAGAAAATAGATCACTTTTGAAAGAAAATTCTTCAGTCAATTTTTGGAGCAATGAAAGAAAATAATGCATAATGAAGTTTATCTAACCATGAAATGTATAATAAATATAGACAACCAAACATTGTAAGAGTCATTAAGTCATACTGGATCAGATGGCTGGGACATGTTTCTCGTTGTGAAGACTCTGATCCATCTAAAAAACTAACATTTTAAAAGAATAGGGTACAAGATAGAGAGGAAAACCGGTAACGAGGTGATTGGGCTGCGATTGGAGAAGTACCCGAAAGTATTGGGAATGAATAGACGGAGAAATCTAGCTACTAGTTGAACTGTCTGGAACAGGCAGGCTGAGTAAGCCTTGGCCTGTACTGGGCTGTAGTGCTGTTAAAGAAGAAGAATGATTAAATTTATATTTAAAATTTAATTTCTCAAGAACGATCGATTCTTTCCAATTTTGCTTTTTTCCATATTCTTAAAAGATGTCGAAATTTGTACACTTTACAATTCCTAAATTTTCTACTATTGTTAAATAAAATAATAAAAAATAATATATATTTACTAAAAGGAATTATCATGGAATTATCCATTGTGCATGATAATATCATGGATAAACGAATTTTATAATAATGCACAAATATTTTTAATTCTCTTAAATACGCAGAAAGTAAAATTATCACCAAGTAATCCAAACTTTGGACCACTCTCCTGAAAATTATTGGGACCATATTTCCCAGATTACGGCCACCAACAAGCCATTATGTTTCACTATTTGGTAACATTTTAAGCCACCATAGGACTAAATACAATTTACTTATTTTATCTTTCTTTGGAATTGCACAGATATTTTATTTCATTTTGTTACTTTTGCTGACCATTATTTTCTATGCCAAACGAGCTATGTTGAAAACAATCTTGATTTTTTTCACGAATCAAACTCGACGTTTATTCTTTTAAAATAAGAAAAATGAATATTCATCTCATATTTTATTCTTAACTCTTATTGATATTAAATATTATTAAACTCTTCTACAAATCAAGCACTTTTCCATCCTCACGAATTTTTGAGTTCCCCAGAATCCCAATAAGTTCGATGCAGCTTTTGTCCTTTACTGAACTTGAAACTTATCTAACAGGTAGTTCTTCGCTTTCTTGATGTGCGGCTGTTATCAAAATGGTGGATAAAAGAAAATGAAGAGCCGGAAATATGAATTATTCATTCGGA